ATATTGCAAAGACTCTTTGTAGCCTTGCTGCTTACAGGGTTCATCAAACCATACCTCAAAATTGCAAAAATTTCCGTCATTGCCTCCAAACCTATTCACACACATCCAGTATCTGAGCCCAACTTCACCATCATCCCAACAGTCCGCCAACATACAACGTTTGCCACATTGGCACATTGGTACATACATGCATTCAGACATTTGTTAAAGCAAAAAAGTAAACCCTGCTTTTATGAAAAGTTTTGCTATTTGCTATGGTTAATCGCAGAAAATAACTAGAATGCACCCGTTATTTATAGGCAAGGCAACACACATAACGTAGTATTTAACTGCGCTATTCTAACACATAACATGGTTTTTAACTGCGCTATGCTTCGCGTGTTAAAGATTCTTTTGGATACAAAACAACTTTTTCGTAGGCGGACAGCTTTTCAGATCGACAAGACAACACACATAACATAGTATTTAACCGCGCTATGCTAACACATAGCATAGTATTTAACCACGCTATGCTTTGCGTGTCAAAGATTCTTTCTGATACAAAACAACTTTTTCGCAATCGGACAGCTTTTCAGATCGATAAGACAACACACATAACGTAGTATTTAACCGCGCTATATATATTCACACATAACATAGTATTTAACCGCGCTATGCTTCGCACGTTAAAGATTCTTTCTGATACAAAATAACTTTTTCGCAGTCGGGCAGCTTTTCAAATCGACAAGACAACACACATAACGTAGTATTTAACCGCGCTATATATATTCACTTATTTATCAAACATCTTCCTCCTTTGATAGTGTAGTTTTTTAATAATTTTAGAGTGAAACTCGAAAGTAAACGTAAAAATTTTTTCCATTTTTTAATCCAATACTATTTGATTACATGAACGGGAGGGAGAAATTCATTAATTTACTCAACTAAAAAATGTTAACAACAATGGAAACATAATTTTATTGATACATCTTGCAACATAAACAAGTACATACACTTATTACAAAAAATATTACGAAAACAAAACACTACGTGTATCCTTGATAGTTTGGCACATTAGATGAACTCGCACCAGGAGCTGGATTACCACTTCCACCCAAACTAGTTGAAGGACATTTACGACGGTCGTGTCCTGTTTGCGAGCGTGGTCGTGTCCTGTTTGCGAGCATATTCCACATTTACGCGCATAACGGTATCACCAACATCCATTTGGTTCCGTATACGCGTTCTTTTTTGCACTTATAACTTACACAAATAGTCCTTGTTACACACCATTTTAAATGGTTCCGGCGGCCAATAATGCTCAGCACCCACTAGCTGTAACTTTCCACTATATGTGTTTAAGTATGAAACAACACTGTATTGCCTATCAACATAGTTGGTTGCCCCTAAACCTGTATGTTGAAAGCACTTCATGGCATGTGAGCACGGCATGTGGTAGATGGTCAATTTCCCACATGAACACAACCTGCTGGCTTCATTTACGGTGTGTATATTATTCCCCTGGTGTTGATGGATAGCGGTGCAAACTTCAAAAATATTTCGCTCGTTGCAATACGGTAAAAATGAATGCCAATGTGCTCGCCTCCTGTATTTCTCAAATCTTTTCATTGGTATTGGCATAAATTCAACACCCCTCTATATCAATTCCGATGCACCTCTATGCCTTTCAACAAACCTATCCGCCATCTATTTGAATGACATTCGCACCATGGCAGTGACAGGCAATCCACGTGCAGACTTTAATAACCCGTTGAAAGACTCCGACACATTTGTAGTCAGGGTTCCCCATCGTCTGCCACCATCCACATGCAATGTCCACTTGTGAAGCTCATGTCGCATCAACCAATGATAGGCTCTTTCGTCTAACCGTCGGATCGATTCCATGCGCCTCCTGAATTTGCACTCCTGGTGATGTAGCCATCCACATTAAATCATGCAAGTCCTTGTTGGGATATTTCTTCTAAAAATTGGCCTTCATGTGCCTCACACAGTAACGGTGGTATGCATAGGATTCCTGTCATTCAGGCAAATGCTCTACAAAACTTAATATACCACCATGCCGATCAGATATTAGATAAATACCTGAACGTTGTTTGACAACGTGCTGCTTCAAGTGGTTCAAAAATAGCGTCCACGTCTCTTGGCTTTCATTGCCACAGATGGCAAAAGCTAGTGGAAATATTTGTCCATTGGCATCTACTGCAACGGCGATCATTAGCTTATTATCATACTTTCCATACACATGAGTATCGTCTATGGAAATTACCGGACGGCAATGCACAAAACCATCAATTGCTGGTTTAAATGCCCAAAACACGTATCTGAATATATATTCCGGTATTTCCTGCACTCCGCTCAAGCTTCCATTCAACAGCAGTCCTGGAGATAAAGTGTTTCAATGCGGCCATGTACCTGGGTAGAGATGCAAATGGCTTATCCCAGTCACCATAAACAATTTCAAATGCACGTTTGCGCCCGAGATATGCCTTTCTTTTGGTAATAGTACACCCATATTCCTGGTGGACGGATGTAATACACTCTTTGATCGTGTACCTTATAGATGCCTCAATGTGTGGAATCAGTTGAAGAGAAATCAAGTCAACATCCAAGTTGAAGTGATTCCAATGTGTCCATTTAACAATTGTGGGTGCCAATATATTTACCCACTTTCCACAACCCTGATTCCTTCTTGCTTGCACGCAGCATCCAATGACAACCCGTAAACCATCTACGGCAAACAACCTTGTATACATCCGGACTTGACTCCCATACCAACATCTCACGACACTCTCTTACGATGTAAATTTTTGCAGCCCTAGTTAGGCGAGCTTTATCAGGAAAATGCATGCCCTTTGCCAGCACCGTTGGTCTAGACTCATCCCATATTGCTGTCTGAATTTCGTCAAGATCCCTTGTGAGGGCATCCACATCCGGCATACTTGGCAAGTGATCAAGGTAGGTAATATGCCTTGAATGAAACGGCACGTGGGACTCGTACACTCTTGGTCTAACGGGAGGTGGAGCATGCTCCCTCGTCAGCTCAGGTTCGGCATTCTCTTCCTCCTCATCATCACCCTCGTCAGGGAAGGGTGTGTCATCTCCAGACTTGTCGACATTGTTTTCATAATCACTATTATCTTCCTAACTCTGCGCATCTACCAAATCCCGAGTAAATACGTTGTCTACGGGCAACTGAATGAGGACAGGACCATCAAGTTGCTCGTTTTCACTGCACAAACAACAAATTAATAAGCTACTCAAATTGATAAATACTTTACATATTATTATATCACTTTACTTACAAGTCGTAATGTGTTGACATTCCATGATGGACATTATCCTATTGGTGATGACTTTCGGATGGAACACCGTGATCCAACACACCAAAACTACGCATATTCCAACTGGGTGTGGGTTCATAACTTGTAACATTCATATCTGAACGGTACCCCCTGTGGAATATATGAGTGTTAATACAAATTCAATACAAAAAAAATAAACATCGTAACATAAAGGAAAATTGAAGTTTACCAGTCGTCATGTGATTATGTAAAGTATGAGAGAAATTGTTTCCTCGCTCCCCCTTCGCCCGTGGAGATAAGTTTAGATCCGGCCAAACTCTTTCAGCCGGAACCTGTTCGGCTAAAACTGCTCCAGAATAACCACCCGATGATTGAGGGTTATCCCTGCTTTGCGCAACCTCATTATCGCGAACGTCTTCAACCTTCACGTACACTTCCACCATTTTTATCAAAATAAGTTCCCGGTATTCATCCGGAGTCCCCCAAAAAACCTCTCAGAGTTTCATCATCCTCGATGTTAAACTCAGCGTAACAAGCAACCCCTTGCGGAGTCACAGAATACAGATATCTTCCGGTTATTTTAAGATTCACCGAACGTTTGCTCAACCTCATTTTATTGCATAACAACGATACCAGTCTATCGTACTCCATTGTAAGTGGCAACTTAACATGACTCTGTGGAGATAAACTATAGCTCACTGAGTTATTCGCCACCACAACCTCCCCCCCCCCCCCCCCCCCCCCCAATATAATGAAACCCTTACTTTTCGCTCTTCAGACATTATGAAAAAAAGCTTGAGAATTTAACAAGAAGAAAAATTTATCAGGAGTTGAAACTTGTTTCTGAATGAATTTTTGCAAAACCCTTAACGCCTTTAAATCAATGCCCAATCTGGGGGATCAAATTTTTGGAAGTATAACGCGTTTTAAAAGGGCGTTTTACATATTTGAATTATTATTATGTCAGTTAAGCGCAAAAGAGTTATTGGTGGTCCCACAAAACAGGTAAAACGTATTTATAAAAGGCGTTTTAATAAAACGCAGTATTGAAACGTGTTTTACCTTAACGAACGTTAAGGAAAAACGTGGTTCAAAACTACGTTATATATATTTTGGTCACTAATTTTTTTCCCCACCTATTTATGTATTTTGAGTCCAAAAACAACATTTAGGTTCCGGAGTATGCATAGTCCAATTGTCACAACTCATTCTTTGTCAGGACCCACGTAAATAAACTCAGTAAAGGGATTTAGAGACAGTTGGATGAGTGAAGAAAGTACCTAATCTATTACTATGTATTATAGGATTTGTTCCTCTCAGAACAACATAAGAAAGGACAAATTCGAGACTATTTGCTTTTGAGTATTGAGCTTTCATGACTAAGAGATTACGGTGATAGGAAGTACATATTAGAAATGGGGCAACGGGCAAAGCAAAAGAGGTAGTTTGATGTGAGTTTTTTCAATCGTGTAGACATCTGATAAAGTCTTATTGATATGCGTAGTAAAACTACGGTGCAGATTAGAACTGGAATAAACTAACTTTGGCCTTTCTGTAAATGACAAATATACCCTTGCAGAGTAACATTGGTAATAATCGAACAGTTTAAGAACACACAAATGGTTCAAATCTCCTGACGTATGTTCAGAAGATTAACTTAGTAGAAAAAGAGGAGAAAAGAAAATTTTGACAAGATTAAGGAGGAAATATTGAATTATATAATGTACTTACATTTATTTTTTTCGGTTTGTATATTCCTTTAAAATATACGAATTTGTCAATGGATGAATGAACACGAGCCCATTGACAGGTCCTCGCTGGAGGTTTACAGAGTTCATTCAGCACTCCAATATTTACATTCATTTTCAAGAAGATTTAACACATTCACCAGATGTCTAAATGCAATCAAAAGGCCAAATACAATTCCTGCTAATGGTGTTTTCGGATCTATGTTAAAGAATCCTTAAAACTTGTACCCATTGGTCTGAGGCCAAATTACTACTTTCTTCTGACAAAAAATCTTTTAACGTAAAACCAAAGAACCTTGTGCTACTTTCGTATCCGAATGCCTGGAATGTCTTTCAATCCCATCTTTAGAGCTGTTCTACGGAATAGCGAAGGAGGCTTTTGCAAACCAATAGACTCGCTAAACTGGTTAGCTAACTCGACAAGCGTCGTCTTGTCTCTGCCTATTTCCCTTACTGAATTATAATAACCGAGCCAAGCATGATAAGCTGCTTCTTTGACACTAGCATCCATCTTTCCAATTGCTTCTTCTATCTGCAATTATCACAACCAAAATTTAATTGCTAATAAATGATTTTCTAAAAGTAAATGAATAATGTTTTTTTCTTGTGAGTGGATTGCCGCCAGACAGGTGGGCCGGCCGTGGGAATAATGCCCCCGAGAAGTCCATAGTATGTGGGTACTAAACAAACTCATAACAAAAAACTTAGCTGAAATCAATCACAACAATTTTGTGAGTACATCCACAACAAATATGTAGTACTTTACAATCACAATTAACTGAAATCAAACTTAGCTGGTAATAGACTGCAATAAAATCAAGAAAAAACCCCGCAGAAGTCCCTGCTTATCAATATTTTTTGTTTTAAAAGAATTACTCAGAAATCCAGCAAACTAATCCGAGATGATATTATGATACTTTTTATCTAGCAAATTTCCGTTCTTCTTTTCCAGGGAGATGGGGAGTATTTAGTTCTATGGCTTATCTGTGCATAGAGAAAATGATAAATCAGTTTATGAAGCTGCAAACCTTGACTTTAGCACGAGGATCAAGATGTGGAACTGGCCAGTTTTCCATGGGGAGGTCTTTTATGTCATCCAAGAAATATTGTTCCCAAGGTGCAAGCAACAGGATGCCTTCTCCTTCTTTGCCCTCTCGCCCGGTTCTTCCAAGCCGATGTATATACTGCTCCCGATCAACAGGAATACCAATCTGATAAACAGTAGATATTCCAATGTGAGGGATAGAGGAAGGAGGATGGAAACAGCCCCCCAGAAAGATAGGAAAATGAGTTCCCACATGATGCACACGATGCACACTCCTTGATTATTATACCATCAAATTGATCATCATTTTGAAAATAGGCAGAAAACACTTTAAATGAGAAATGAGGTAAATAGTGACTTTACTTATCCGAAGGATTCGAAAACTTGGAAGAGAAAGGAGCTTAAATAACTTAAGCTTTCAGAGTTATGCTTTGATGTATTACCTCCTTTGTGAAAGAAGTTCGATGTTAAGAATTATATTTGATAGAGAGTTCTTTCTTACTTTTTCTTTCTTTTAAGAGATTGTAACATTAGTAAAAGAATTATATTTAGCCATGTGGTATATGTCAGCTGCATTCTTCATGTTGATTGATCCTAAAAGAACTCTCCAAAAACAAGAAGTTTAGCTTGTTAATGGGCAATCTAACTCTTCTTCAAACATAAACATTTAAATTTCAAGAAATATCAATGTGCATTATAAGCTCCTTGAATCGCCATATACCTGAATTACCAGTGTCACATCAGGATAATTCATCCCTCGAGCTGACACATCGGAGGTAATAAGAATTACACGTTTTATTTCCTTGAATTCATCGGAGATTCGAGTACGATAAAGTTGAGGTTTTCGGGAATGGATCTCTCTCACATTCATTTTCATCTCACGGAAAAGGGAAAACATGAGGGATGTCATCATCGCTGTTGTACAAAAAACAATAACCTGTATGACAGTCAAAGTTCAGAATACATCAATATAGCTATGAGAAAATAAACATCACAACCAAGAAACCAGATGGCATTAAGAAAATCTTCGAAATTTTGAATAAATTCCAACAATAAGAACTAATTACCTTGTAATCAGGCACTTCTGAGATATGGCTTGTCAAAAGATGGTGCACAAGTTGAAAATGTTGTTCATGCGGTGCAACGAGATAAAACTGCTTAACCTGCTTATGAGCCCATGTATTTGCAATAGATATTACAAAACTCAAAAACATAACCAAATTGCAGGTAAAGAAATTACATTGAATCCAGGACCTAATGGTCTGAATTTTCTGTAAAGAAGCAGGAACCTATTCGGTATCTTTAGCAGAAACCAAAATCAAGGCATACCTTTGGATTCGTTTCCAGACCGAGCCCCACCGTATCAACATAACCATGTTCCCTTTTCAGAACAAGTTGAGATACTCGACGGACCTGCATTTTCATAACATTTCGTTCAACCAACAGGAAGTTTACAAGTTCTGACATACTAGATTGACCTTAAGTTCTTGGATTACACAGCACCAAGTCTATTTCTTTTATTACGGCGGTGAAGCACCAGATTGCACACACTTCGACTATTTAGTGGACAGGCTGATAACCCACGGTCGACCTTTTACAATATTAACATGAGGGAAACAAGGAAATTTCTAACCTCCTTAGGGACAGTAGCTGAAAAGAGTAAAGACTGCCTTTTCCGAGGCAAGCAATCGACAAGTTTCTCTATGTCTTTCCGGAACCCAAGGTCCAGTAAGTGGTCAGCTTCATCAAGTATAAGCATCTTCAATCCCATTAATCGTGTAGAGAAGCCAGACTTGTTCTCAATGTGATCTAATAATCTACCAGGTGTCGCAACTATAATCTACAGAAATAGCATTAGACACAATGAAATTCGATGCCAGCTAAATACACAGAAAAAGACATATATGCACAAAATCCTTTAAGATGTCAGCTAAATAACAGAGAAGAAACATTCACAAAGCTTTAGCAGTTTTGACCCCAAAATATTGGTATTGCTGCATAAGAAATAGTATTTGGTCTGGTATTAATATTCTTGCTTAGGGTGAAACATGTCCTGACTTTAATTCTTGAATTGCCCCATTTGGTTATTTAACTCTAAATTCACATGGAGGGTAATTGTTGTTAAAGACCTACACTCTCTAGGAATTCATGTGAATTTGGAAACGAATAGAAGACAATAGCAGCAAAAAGCTCCATAAATGTGATATCAACTAGTGAGATTAAGGCCTAGTCGTGTTGATACATTTACATTAGGTCAGGTGTTTGCCGAAAAGGCTGTTCAGTTTGTTTAGATTTGTATGACAACAGAAAAGTTAGAGAACCTCTAGTGTAAAACAACCCCCTAAATTATCCTAAAACACAAACCATTTACTAATGCAAATTTGCAACGAAACAGGAAGAAAACTCAAATGATGGAAACAAATATCAAGGATTCTTATAGCCAACCCCAACTAGTTTAAGATTGAGACATAGTTGCTGTTCCTGCAGGAAAAAAGCATTAACATCCTACTGATGCGCAAACTTGTTGGATTAGTTCTCAGCAAACTTTCCCTTTTTTTAGGAATGAAGTAATGAGTTGTTAACATGGATTACTAAGCCCAGCCAAAAGATGAAGGCAGTGAGCTATCTTGTTTATCAATCTACCATAGGTTTAATGAACAAGCTAAAAGTAGATTTTAAGTAGTTATAAAGACTATACATGCAAAACAAGGAAATCATGCATGGTATACAACCTTATAGAAGAAAGAGTTCATAAGAAACCCTTTTTAAGTACAAAGAAGGACCTATAATTGCTTTATGAAATACTGGTCTTAAAGCTCGTAAAAATCTGTAAGCCATTTTACATTGCTTTACTAACAAAAGAATTAAAAAAAAGGCACCTAAGCAGTTATATCTTAAAGCATACACAGCATCAGCTTTTCCCTACAACAACTCCTATTTTCCTTCCACGGGAACCACAAATATGCAAAGGGGTGCACTGTCCCAAATTTACTTAACAGACTTTTAAACCATACAGTCCCTCCACATCGCAAAACATTCCTCAATTGCTTTGGCATCAGCATCAGTGATATGATCATGACAACTAATGTATTCATGGTGAGATTTCTTAACTATGTACATTGGAAGAAACAAAAAAAATTGTTCATAGGAAATCTACCTTGGTTCTGTTTGAGTTCAAGCAAGCAAAACGCTTGCCTGATTTTATAATGGGTTCGGGTTGCACAGGTAGAAACCAGGCAGGGTTTTACAGATTTTCCTGGGTCAAAATGCTTGACAATCCAGCTAGGCACAGCCAGTTCAAGCCCGGGGCTACTGTATTCTCTGCTCAAACTGCAGGTCCAGGCCAAGTTTAACAACACTGGTTCTAAAAGAACGCTTGAGCTAGCGTGTCTAGTCTCAATTCCTAGATCTCATTAGCAACTTCTACTAATGACTCAGAGATAACATACATGCCACACTACAAGTCAATATTTGGCAGAACTGTCACATGTCTTTTGTTGTAACTGATTTTGACAATTGACAGAAACATGTCTGCATTTCTCAGCATGTAATCCTCAAAGTGCCTGGGAGTTGCCTCTCAGAAAATCATCCATGTTCAATTCATCTTTACCATAAACTGAAAAAGAATCCTAATATAGACAAAATGCAGATATACCTGGCATGGATTAGACTCTAGACGTTTCTGATCCTCCTTGAACCGCGTCCCTCCAACTAGTGTCTGCACACCAATGCTTTCATGGTACTTTAACAAAACATTAGCTTCAGCAGCTATCTGACTGGCAAGTTCTCGCGTGGGACACAGAATAAGTACATCTATTGGTGGGACCCTTTGGGCGCTCTTTCTATTTGAGGCCTTCAGAACTGTTTCAATAGCTGGAAGCTGTTGGACTTTAATAGCAGCAATAAAAGAGCAAGTGAAACATGCAAATAATCTGCAGGGAATAACATAAAAGAGAAGAACTAATTTACCAAAAAAGCAGCACTTTTTCCAGTGCCTGTCCTTGCTTTAACTAAAGCATCCATTCCTGTAATTGGAAAAAGTCAGAACAAGTTCATCCAAAAGAGATATTACAGGTCCAATCATGAACTTGCGGATCAGTTAAAATTGTTGAAAAGCATATACATCCTACATGCACTGGAATCATTTTTTCAGCACAGATAACAATGAATTTATGGTTACACACCAATTGGACTATTGGCTTGATGGTAAGCATAACACTCAAATATCAAAGAATGAAACATGACGCCCATTTATCAGACTATTTTTACGTGAAGAACAAACTAAATTTTTACAGCAGATCATCACTTCATCAAATATTTGACTAGTAAAAACATACCCTCAAGACAAGCAGAAAGTGTTGCTTCTTGCACCTTAGTCATTTGCACATAACCTGCTGCAGTAAGGGCCTTGACTGTCAAAGGAGATACATCACATTCATCAAACCTAATCGATCATACCCCCACACTGTCACTGAAACGTCATACATACAAACCTTTTACAATGTCAAGTGGCAAACAGAAAAATCATTTATTACCTTTTCGAACTAAGTATCGATTCCTTCTCGCCTTCTTCTTCGCTTTCACTTTTCTGCTTACTCCGCTCTCTAACCTCCTTCCTTATCGCCTCCACGTGCAATGATAAATCATCCTCATTTTCCACAAACTTCAATGGAACTCTCTTCTTCGTCTTCATATCATACTTCCCTAGAGCAGCACTACTCATCATTTTAACACTCCCTCCACTCCGCCCTTCCTCCTCTTCCTCATCCTCATCATCCTCGGTATCTTCATCTGACGAATTCTCATTTCTAGTGAAACCTAATTTCCTTGACCGATTCCCCTTTCTCGTATCCATGGAATAATATCTAAAGTTCAATAAACTATTCAAATTATTTACATTTCTATTCTCATTTTTATTAAACATTCTCCATCCAAACATTAAAAGATTATTCTGTCTCGACCAACTGTTCGAAAATTTAGGTATTTCGGTTCTCCAATTTTCTGCCACGTCATTCCTAACATTCGTACAGAAATGTCTTGCTTTCTGAAAACTGCAATTTTGTGGAATCAATTTACGCAAATCAATAGGCTCACTAATTCCTGAACGATGTTGATTGTGCTGTGGGGTATTAATTGGGCCGTCCTCTTGGTTCCACAAATCCTCAGCACCTTCTTTCATGAATCGATCGGCTAGAGATTTAATATGGTCTTGGGGTGAAACTGGGCCATAGTTAGGCTGTTGTTGTTCGTGAGATCTATATGATTGTTCGTCGGAAGTAGTTAATTTAGACCGGATTTGAGATCGGATTCGGGCCTGATAAAGCTGTTTCTCTTGATCAAGGAGTCGTTTTTCTTTATCTCGGGCTTTCTTCTCGTGAAGGCGTTTCCATTGCCATTTGTTGAGACCACCCGGGAACGTACGAGGACCGCCGCCCATTGAACGATTAAACTGAAGCTGTGATGTAGAGATTGGATGAAGAAGAAAATGGTGATATACTGAAGAGAAAGAGGGTTTAGTTAGGGTTTAAGCCTCAAGGTGGATTTACACTTTGACCCCTTGTTTATACTATAATTACATTAAGACCCTGTTCGTTATTACAAACTCTCTCTTTGAGCCCCTAAGGATGTCGGCTAATTGAACAGCTTTATCTATCTATGTCTATATCTATATCTATATCTATACATCCATATAATATAGATATAGATATAGATATAGATATAGATAATATGTGTGTATAATTATTTTTTAATCTATTTTCCACCACAAAATATGAGTCAAAACTCTAATATAGAAATTAGAAGTTTTGGAGTTGTTCCAAATCAAAGAAATGACTAAATATTTATAAATATTTGACTCAGAACCTAGTCTATATTTATCTATCTATCTATTTATCTATCTATCTATCTATCTATCTATCTATATCTATCTATATATATATCTATCTATATTATTATAAAAGTACGAATGTTAAACACTAAATGTTGAGTGACAAAAATATCCCTAAAATATTAACTGACTTTTATGCCCCTAAAAGCTAAACTATTTCTTCAAAGAGATACTTCATATGGGATAGAATTGTAATAATTAGCTTTACCTAATATTTAGAATTTGAATACTATTGAAATTGTCTATTCGACTTTTGGCCATGAATTCGAAACCATGTTCAATTTAAATTGAGTATGAGAAGACTTCTAGCAAAGGCATTAGTACTCTTATGTTAACTATATTTAATATCCATCAATGGTTCATCTTTAATATTGTGTTTATGGTTTTTTTTTTCCACGGAAAAATTGCTTCTCTACATTGAAAAGGAAAAGTGTAACGACCCGGTTAGTCGTTCTAAGAGTTGTGGCCCTATTTCTTTCATTTCTATTTCTTTATGTGTTGTTAAGCTGTGTTGAGTTGTATCGAGTTGGCAGGTTGGGGTTCGGAGTAGTTTTAGAGTGAAATGATCACTTGTTCTCTTAGTTAGAAAGCTAAGTTGGAAAAGTCAACCGGAAGTTGACCTATGAGTAAAAGAATTCGGATTTGGTTTTTTATGATTCGATCAGCTTCGTTGGGTGATTTTAGACTTAGGAGTGTGTCCGGAATATAATTTGGAGGTCCGTGGTAGAATTAGGCTTGAATTGGCAAAAGTTGAAAGTTTAGAAGTTCTTAGGCTTGAATTCGAGGTTGATTTGGTATTTTGGTGTTGTTTTGGGTGTTTCGGAGGTTTGACTAAGTTTGGTTAATGATATATGACTTGTTGGAATTGTTGGTTGAGGTCCCGAGGGCCTCGGATGAGTTTTGAATAGATTTGGGTTGTGTTGCGCTCGTTTTTCTTATGTTTCGACGCCGTTTCTTCAAGCATAAATGATATCATATTGAACAAATAAGCTCCAATTTCTTTTTTGATTGAAGCATTAGATCCGTATTGTAATTACGGACATGTAGCAAAAAGAATCATCGAATTTGGACATCGTATGAGGATTTTATGGTCATTTTACTAAAAATTAGGTTGCCAGATTTTTTCAGAGTAATTACGACACTAGCAGCGTATTTAAAAATTTGCACTATTTGCAAATATTAAAACCTACATATCTCATTCGTTATAAGGTCAAATTGAGTGATTCAAAAGTCTAACTTGACTAGAATTTCACAAGGAATCTATTGGAGGCATAAAATACGAGTTTCGGGATCGTTTGGCTTGAGAAACGAGGCAGAATAGCTGGTAGAAAATATACAAAACTAGGGTTTGTTCATTCGGTCGTATTTTGAGTTGGGGAGCTTGGATTTGGGCGATTTTGGAGGCGATTTTTACCATATGGATTGGGGTAAGTATTCTCTACTCGATTTTGATTATAATTTATGAATCTGTCTTCGTTTTTGGGATTTGATTGATGATTTCAAAGTGAAATTAAGGGAGTTAGGGTTTGAGTTTTGGAGAGTTTTAAGTGAGGATTTCAGGGACCAAACGAAGTCCGATTTTGGAAAATTTTATATGGTTAGACTCGGGAGAGGACGAGGATTATTATTCTGCCATTTTTGACTGATTTCGAGACGTGGGCCCGGGGGCCGAGTTTTGGCCGATTTTGGATTTTTTGCATGTTTATGTAGTTTTTATTGTGTAATTCGATTCTTTAGACTATGTTGATAGTAGTATTTTGATTATGGTTAGATTCGAAGCTTTTGGAGACCGAGTCGAGGGACGAGGACATCCCGGAGTAGGATTTTACGCTATTGAGGTAAGTAACAGTTTTAACTCTGGCTTTGAGGGTATAAACTCGGAGAAATTGATATCATGTGATTGTTTGGTGGTGATACCCACGCTAGGTGACGGGCGTGTGGGTGTGCACCGCGAGGGATTGAGACTTGGTCTGTCCCGTAAGGCCAGGCCTAAAAGCTATTATCTATGGTTATGTATTTACTTGTTGTTGAACTTGTTTGCCTTCATGTTAGAGATCCTGTTTAGGTTTTATTCATGCTCAATTTATTTGTACTCAGTCATAGAAATTATTGTACATGTTTACCTAAGTCTCTATTATTTGATAATATGTTGTGATACTTGATGTGGGTTGTGTTCCCTTATTTGTTGATGATGGAGAGGCTAGTGAGGTACATGACTGAGTGAGGCCGAGGGCCTGGTTGTGAGGATATTAATACCATAGCGCGTGAGTTGTCCGCGTAGCACGTGAGTTGACCGTGCGGATCCAGGTATTGATATGGTAGCACGTGAGTTGTCGGTGCTTAGCGCTTGGGCTTTGGGAGCCCCTCCGGAGTCTGTACACACCCCCAGTGAGCGCAGAGTGTTGAGTGTATTGAGTGTTGAGTGTTGAGTGCTGAGCGCGAGTGCTGAGTGATGGAGTGACATTGTTGTGAGGTTGCATTTACTTTTGTTGTTGCTGCATTTATCTGTTAAATTTCTTTGTGGCATTTACTGAGTTATGGAATTTACCTGGTTATTCCTGTTATTTTTAAAATTGTGAAAAATAAATAATTGGACTATTTTGCTCAGCTCGTCACTACTGCTCAGTTCCTTAGTTATTTTAATTACTACTGAGGTGGTTGTACTCATACTACACCCTGCACTTTATGTGCAGATCCAGGTGAGTTAGAGCGCGGCGATCTTTGAGTTCAGGCCGGCTATCTGTGGAGATTGCAAGGTAGCTGCTAGCGTCCGCAGGGCCTTGTTACTCCTCTTTTCATTTCATATTTTCGACAATTATATTTCTTAGTTCATAGTTTTATACGCTCATGACTTAGTGACACCCCGATGTTTGGGACTCGTTTCCGTATTTTATATTTTTATATTTAGAGTTGGTTTAGTTTATCAGGAATTAAATTATTGAAAATATTTTATTAAATTCTTACAATCAGATTAGTAGTAATTTTGGGAATTGGCTTGCCTTGTAACACAATAGGCGCCATCACGACCAAGGTTAGATTTTGGGTCGTGACAAAAAGCTTGATATAAAGGAAAATATGAGAGCGAGATTTCTAACTGGATTTGATACTTTTCAAGGTAATTTGATTTCTAATGAAATCTGGTATGAAGTTAGTTTCTTTTAGTGAAAGATTACTGCAGAAGCAATATGACTTAATTTTCTACAAACGTACAATCAGAATATTCTATTCTTTAAAGTTAACATGGTTAAAGTTGGATTCTTGCGAATAATATTTAAATATCACAATATTCTTTTTGATTAGATTTCTTTTATATTTTATTTTTCATATTCTGCTTTCTTGAAAACCAAGATAATCCTTTTTCTTTAAACATGCTCCGTAGTAGCATATAGTTGGTCTACAACTCTTGACTATTTAGAGTTAGGATTGCTTAGGATTGTAGCTGAATGATTTTCTAGCAATAACAGAAGATTTCTTATAATGTATGTGTGCCTACGAGAAAAAAGTTACTTATCGTGGACCGAAAAGAATAATAATTAACATAAGATAATGGCGTGCAGTGCAACAAGGCAATGACATTTTATCTCAGTTTTTCCCTCATCTATTTATGTATCTTAATCAAAAGAAATATGACTTTCATATTTTCTTCATTTTTTGTTTTAACCGATTATGAAATTCACACATATTTAGTAGTAACAAGTAGTTTTAGAATATATATACGCAAGTGAAAGTTTATTACTCTTGATAGAGTTTATTAATGTTTTGACACTAGATTTTTCGTGCATGGCACGAACGTAGAAACTAGTTATTATAAAAGCACGAATAATTTAAACTAAATGTTGAACGACTAAAATATCCCTGAGACATTGATCGATTTTTATGCCCTTAAATATTTGTATAATTTAAGTATATAATTGTAATTACCTAAGGTTGGAATTCGTTTTCGATTTAAATTGCACATACGCATGCCCTACAAAGTCTATTTTGGGTCAAATTCTGTTTCGGACTCTATGCGTCTCTATTATGCTTTCTTCTTGGACAAAACTATGCGTTTGTCTCCATTATGCTTCTCGTATGGTTTTTATTGTATAGTTAGACTTATCCTCTTGTTAACTTAGGAACTATATTGCTCCACAAATATGTTTAACTATTTTTCCTTTTTTGTAGTTTACAAATAATTAATATGCTTATGGTATTCCATAAAATATAGACGGACAGGGGCGGATCTACATGCAGACATTATCTTTGACAAGATTTAGTAAATTTGTATAGGTAATTATAAAAATATTTAGATAAATATTGATTGAGCACCCATAACTAAACTCTTTTTTCCTCTTCTTTCAAATTTTTAATCAGTGAGCACCCACGATTTTAAAATCCTGGATCCGCCACTGTAGACGGAGACGAACCAAACTTTATATCTATATTATTATAAAAACACAAATATTGGTACTACCCTTTAAAGTTAAAACCAAATTTAGCGAGATGTCTTTTGTGATATATTTTATGTTTCTAAATATTAGGAGTTACTATATAGTTTAAATAAGAAAAGATTTAATAGTCAAAAAATATTTTAATTTTTTTCCTAAATAATAAAAATATAATTAAATGACAATAATATTCAATGT